AGTAGCAGCAGCAGCGGATGCTGGTAATGCTGTGGATAGGGGGTAACCGTGGGCGGATGTGCCCAGCAGACGCGATGCATCCTCACGACTCATCTGGATAGATGAACCACGTAAAGGCCGGGACAAGCACATAGATCGTTTGCGAGTTCCGGGAATCGAGATAAATGTATGGGGGTCCGTGGGACGCGCATCACGAGGAGCCAAATGTCTGAAAGGTTTGGTTGTATGCAATCGAGTTGTGGACATGAGATTGGATCGTACTGGATTCGGACAACGCCCGGTGGGTTTCCACACACGGGTGGAGCGGAAAAATCGCGATTTTTTATTGGACAGGACATGTTGGGGATCATGACGCGTTTCACGGATCACAGGCGGAAGTGGGGATACACCGGAGGCACTGCTGGGAGAGGAACAACTAACAGAGAGATCCACATTGGACAACCAATCGGATTCAATAGACAGAGGGGAATCGGGATCGGGGTGAGACTGGGAGAAAGCGAAGTTGCACACATGGGACCGACCCGGGGAGAGTGAGGAAGATGAAGCCACGTCGTACATCGACGCATCATCACAGACAGGTAGTGATTTTTCTGCATTGTAAAGGGAAAGATCAGGACAAAAAAGATAAGAAGCCAAAAGTTATCAATAAAAACGATAGATAGATAGATAGCAACAATATTAATACACACAAAAAGCTTTGGAAAAGTTAGACAGGAATCGCCATTGAAAAATTACCGCTATCACAAAACCGGTTTAACATAGAGATAATTTCCATAAGTGGACTAAAATTACACCTTGGATTTTTTAATAGCTCAAGTGTCCTGATAAGATTAATCTAGGTAGAAAAAGATCGAAGTTCAATGGATGCACCATTTTGAACTGGCAGACAAACAGAACACGAAGATGCAAACAATCAACACCATCGTCCTCGTCCTGTAGTGTCACAACGATGAGAGAAGTGAATTTGACTCTAATTACACTGAATGCGGCCAATCCCGTGAATTCATGCAGTAGCGTATACATAGACACCCATTCTAGTCCAACAGGGAAGATGGCGAGGTGGATGAACACCAAGTGTACTAGAATACTCTCCAAATTGTGGGCTGAGAGAGGCGACCTACGACCTACGACCGACCAATCCTAACCGTCGAAAATGACATATCTCTCAACTCACAGTCTAACGATGGTACTCTCACCCGGGAAATCGAATTCCGATTGATATTCATCGGAAAATTGAATATAATTTTAGGAGATTGGTAGAGTAATTCATATTCCCACACAAATTAGAAAGCAGTCACTGAAGAAGTATCAACAGAACTATCATCAGAAATCAACATGAGTGATAGAAAGTCAACACTCATATAGGACTGGTCGGTCAATTGCCAGTATCCAAAGGGTAACTGCTTCACACATGTCTTTAACCTGTTGATTTGGGAAAACATCAGTTGTGGTCATGCGGTCACATGATCAGCAATCAAGATTAGCATGTGACTAATCAGATTTCATAGGATTGAATATTACTACTCCAGCTTTCACTTGCTCTTCCGGCTCTGCTACACGACGCTCATTTACAGACCGCAACTCCCCCCCCCAAACCCCTCATCTATTTCCGTTCCTTTGTTAGTTCCAAACATTGTTAGCGTTAGCTCACAACTATCATCTAATGGAAGTATCACATTATGCACTAATAGTCAACACTAACGATAAGCAACCACCAGTCATCACCTATTGAGTCCATCACCTTTCTCAGACCCAGCTCAACTTCCAAACTAGCAGCGTATAATATCCGCACGCTCATGTGTACAGGGCAGTAAGCGGACTTAGCAAGCACACTTAAAACCCACGCGATCGATCTGCTGCCCCACAGAGACTCTACTGCAGGGCTCCAACCAACACCATCACCCGAATGCTACGAGAAAAAATCACGAACTCAAATAAAAATAGCGCCTATTTGATGTTTTACGTCCGTTCAAAAGGGCTTCGGGGTGGCTTCAGCTGTAGGATTTGATTAGAATGAATTTAAGTAAGCAGTCGACGTTAGGCTACGTGGTTTACTCGAAGCAAACAAGCATCGAAACCTCAAACGTCCTCTATTCATGTTAGCATACGCTCTTGTTGACTGAAGACCGAGTCTATGAAGGGTTGAGTATATGCTACAGCAGTTAGGCCAGTCCTGCAACATGGTGCAGACTTGTCCATTACGGGAACAAGATAAAAATTAATTCTGGATGTTCGAATATGGCTGTTTACACCGCAGTGCACGAGTTTGGTGAGGAAAGCGGACAAGCAATGCTGAGGTAGTCGCGGTCGTCCACTGAAACAGGTGGTCGACCTCCATTGACTACGGTGCGTGGGACATGTATTGCGCATGTCACCAAATAGGTTGCCACGGCAAGCAATTTTTGCCGAGGCGGGTAGTGGGTGGAAAAAGGTTAAGGGTGGTCAAACTAAGACCTGGTATGAAAATTCAACCAAAGAGACCGGGTTACATAGGTTCGGTTATGCTCCCGGAATGGGGACCCTGAGAATTTTTTTAATAAACACCCGTGTGTGATGAACAGCAATCGGGGCGGACCCCATAGTCACGAATACTTGCTGTTCAATGAGATTACTCGGCAACCTAAGCCCCGGGGCTTGGAGTGGCCCCGATAGGTTAGGCGTGGTATAGAACCGGGCCACAGCAGAGCTGCCTACCACCAAAGTCGGGTGGCGGGGCTCGAACTTCGGACCACAGGGTCCAAAGCACGCTGGTGACAGCGACTACGCCATGGTAAACGGTGGTTAAAGACACTGAGTGATGTGGTTGAGTGTCGCAAACAGAGACGCTCATGCATCTACTCATTATTCTTGCAACCAGTCTATATAAATTCTCTATCTTCTCTTTGACTCTGCTCTGAACATTCCAGTCATTATACCCTTATCCAAATGGGCGACCAACAGACAGCAACCAAAACCGGTGCATGGTTAACGGTTGTAAAAACTGAAACTGAAGACCGAGCGCAACCAACGATCTCTTCCACCGGAGCATTGAAGCATTTGCTGCTCTCAGCTTCCAAAGTGCATTTTTTCAATCTTGCAGAACTCAGTGCATGCGTCAGCCATCTATTACCTAGCCACTGTCACCTCGGAGGAGATTTCGGTCTATTATACGACCACTCCGATAAGGGAGGTGGATTTTTAGTTTTGGGCTCTGACCATTGTTAGCTTCTGGCCAGCATCAACTTGTACCACTCACAAAGGTGCACTGGAAATTAATAATCGCCGGGGTTAGTAGCAACGGGATTATATACTCGATAACTTAAGATGACATTATTATCTATCTATCGACGAAATATCAACATTAAATTGTTTTTTATTCCACTACTAAAGAAATACAAATTTTATTATCAGTAATATGATTCAATACCCATATTTATTACAAGAATACACATTACACCGTAATATGAATACAACGAGCCACAACGAGCATTTGCGGATTTTCTGACCAGAGAATTAAGATAGGACAGCGACACTTGGTTGCCCTAGGGTGATATTAAACCCCTCTTCGTGCTTCCAGGAGAGATTTCCGTATTTATTCTATAACAAATGTGTGTGCTAAAGCGTACACCGCTGTTTATTCCCATGTCAGTGTATTTACATATTGCTCGGTCTTCCGTGTAATTTTGCATACTGAATCGAAATATTTCACACATCCGTCTCCCGGGACTTATTCTTGATCGAAACTTCAAGCAGTTCCAGCTCTTCAACTACTTTCTATTTACGTATTTGCACTTGAGCATCAATGTGGGCATTTACGGGTGCTAGTCGATTACCGTCATCCATATTTCCCGTCTTAATTATTAGAAACTAACAGATGTTGCCGAAACTCTTACCTCCGCCATTATACACGTTTGTTTACTTTCTCGTTCTCTAAATAATGGCAATTTATCGGTTTTCTGTCCAAGCATTTCACTTGGTTTGTGTTTTGAACTCTTCAAATATCGAATCAAATGGCTATTCGCTTAACAGATTTAGTCCAGACCACAAAAGGTCGCAGTTCTAATTTGTTCCATTTTTTCGTCACTTAATGGTGATTTTGCTTTTAAGTTTTGTGCGATTTCTACGAACCTTCAAAACAGAATTTACCGTTTGGTATACAAAGTTATCCCATGTTTGTGTCGGATCCCAAGGTTGTTTTGAACGAGGACTCTAATTCCCCTATCTAGGTACGTAGCATCCAGGTGTAAAACTTCTGAAATAACATCCATTCTAAGATGTGTATCGTGTTAAGAGTGTTATTTTCCAACCACCGGTTGTTTCGTTTGTTGTCTTTTGTTGGTTCCGCTCATATTCATCCTAATGTGGTAGTTTAGCAACATTAAACGTTCCATCGATCGTTAGAATAGCGCATGACGGTTTGTGTTCCTGGTATGTCACATGACTAGCTAGATTGGCGTAGTCTAGTTTAGGGTCGATTGGTATGAAAGCGGTTGGGTTTAGTCATATGACCAAAGAACTATTGGTTTTCCGGCAGGGTTTAGCGAACCCGTGCAAACTCGTTGCACTATTGATTTAGCATTTTTCATCTTCTTCAAGAGTGGATTATTTGCCGCAGTATCAGAGTTTTCTCACACTGGCTATAAGAAACGTTTTGAAGAATGGTTTCCTTCCTAGTTCATACCTCTCATCATTATTTATTGGCATCAGGTCGATTGGGTATTTTCCTAGCTAAAAGCCTAATCAAACTTGACTTGAATACTTGCGTTTGTACTGACTCAATGTCTGTTTTTGCATCACTTCGCCACTCTGTGCCGTCTAGATGACTGTATTTTAATATGATTATATCCGAACTTTATCTTAATATTTCCCTAAGGAGCTTTAATTGTGGTGTTACAATTCAGAGCATTTTTCCATTCGATTTATTGCGGTCTGGGAGTTGACTTTTCCGTTGATAGTTAGCAAGCAACTACTGCCCTTATTTTATTCTTTGGTACGATCTGGTCACAAAGTCTACGAATGAACAATTGCCTGGTTGTATTCATATATGATATATTGTATCATATTATTTAAATTATATTATGTATTATGAAATTCATACTTTCATATTCAATCGAACACGGTCCATAATTGAGGGAAAATAGTCCCTGACATTGCTTATGGTTTGCTAGAAATGTCTTATCCCATTTCGGCATGTCAGCGAATTATCATTTTGGTTGTCCGGTACTTGAGGGTCACAAATCATGTTGGTGCTTTTATCGTCGTAACAGAGAAACGGACTATATAGACATCCGGACTTGATAACGGGAGGAGTTAGAATAATACTTGGACAAATTGGTTTCATATCGAATCAACTTTCATTTGTAAAATTAAAACAGCGGCGGAGATACAGAGAAAATAAGCGGGTAGCCTTAAAAGCGTTTCATGCACTATAGCTTTATTGATGACTACTTTTTCCAATCGATATGCGAAGAATAAGCGAAAGAAGAGAAATGGTGTGTGTGAGTGTGTACTAAAGTACTAATGCTAAAAGTACACTGAGTTAAACAATCGGGTTTGTTAGGAAATGATGATGCCAAGTA